ATGTTTGAGATTTAGAACAAAAAAATTTACTAAATTCGTTTACAATAATTTCAGGGTTTTGTATCACTGATTCCTTTATTTTCAAACTTATTTTTGGTTTCAAATTACATTTTCTGCCTAGGTCTGATTAATAAGGTTCCATGTGGTTTTACTAATATTGTTTGACTCTCTAATTCTAGAGTTAAAATGTTCTTTTCTAGCCTCGATGAGCAGATTACTGTAGCACGACTTGTGGTAGTTGTAAAGCCTTTTTATGTCAGAACCACAGGACGTACTAGCTATTACAGATTCCAAAAAAAATAACATATTTTTGCATCTAAAATCTTTTTACTTTTCCAGAAATAACTTGTATTCTTGTTTTTATTTATTACTTTCTTTGTTATTAAAGGAAAACTCAGATCATAATAGTAGGAAAAAACTGCAAAAAATCTATTAAACATCTCATTGGCTGTTTGACTACCAAATACACAATTCCATGACTCATTGTTTAAGTGGTAAATAAAAGTGTTTGTATTTACGGTATCAATAATTCTTTTTTTAACAATTTTTGTGCTGTTTGTTATTTTTGTTTTTAACATAATGGTAATTGAAATTGCATAGTGGTCTGATACACTGGATCTAATAACACAGTGACTATGGTTACTTATGTACAAACTATTGCTTACAAAGATATTATCAATACATGTTTTAGACAATGGTGTTACTCTGGTAGGTTCTCTTATTAGATATTTTAAACCAAATTCATTTAAAAATGTCATCAGCTTAAATTTGTTACTACAGTTTTGAAGCACATCAACATTGAAGTCTCCTATGAAAATCAATTTTTGATGTAAGGCAAAATTATCCATAAAATATGATATTTTTTCTATAAATAGGTCTATATTAGACCCTGGAGGTCTGTATACTCCTATGACGCTGTAAACGTCATTACAAAATTTCAAGTGTATGCCAACAATTTCAAAAATGTTTTGTTCAGAGAATTCTACCAGATTTAAAACTTCAAATTGAATTTTTTTTTCACAAAAATTGCTGAACCTCCTCCTCTCTCATCTGACCTTGAAAAAGCAGTAGCTAACCCATACAAGCCTGATAAGAATGAGATTAGTTCTATGGTATCAGATTGCAACCAATGTTCGGTTATGAACATTATGTCCGGCTGTTGCTCTTCAATTAAAACTTCCATTTGGTTTATTTTAGAAAAAAGGCTACGCGTGTTTTGATGCAGAATTTTAAAGCAAGAATTTTTATTCAAATTTTGGTCTAAGCCAGTAAATTTATTGCTCTTTGCAAAACCCGGTTTATTGTCAGTTTTTGTTAGTTTAAAGATGGAGTGGAGGAGGTTTTGTCAGTGAGGTTGTATGAGAAAGGAGACCATCCCCTAAACGGACTACCATCACTCATCATAGATTCATTGACAGTAGCCAAACCTTGCACTTCATTTTCACACCCCTAAAAAGACATTATTCCCCCCATCACTAATCACTGTAGTTGCAGGAGACTGAAGATCTGTGACAGGGTGGCGTGGCTGTGTCCGAGTGGTTGGGCTGGAGTTGTCTACGGTCGAGGAAGCCAGGTCTGTTGGTGTAGGCTCTGGATTATTTGAAGTTGTTGTTGGGGATTGGTGGGACAAAGTGCAGTCATCTGGACAGAGGAGATGCTGTAGTATTTTAACAAATGCAGGATGTGGAACTCCATTCCTCAATCTTTGCCTAGAGGTGTCATCGGAAGTCACAACAACCACTGAGGCTCCAGTGGTTCGGACAAAATTTTACAAATTTGACTCAAAATGTGTAGGTCGAATGCAATCTCGAATGCAGCCCAGGGGCGAGCAAATGAGTGTCTTCAAGTTGCTAGTTTTAAAATCCACAGCTAATTGTCGGAACGCTGAATCATACGTTGTCTTATAGTTGGCAAAGTTGGTAGAGTTAAGGAAGTATCTAGGCTTTGTCACAAGTCCATAGACAGGTTGTCCATTCCCTGATTTCTGGCATGTTAGGTTCCTGCTACAGTAGTCCGCTCTTGAGGGTTTCCCAAACTTTTCCTTGAAGACTACCGCAACTCCCTTACTCATGTTTTTATTGTCTTCAAAATCTCCTGAGATGCAGTGGGCAAAGGCTACATTTTTGCTGTTGTCATATTGTTCTATAACAGAGCCCATATCTGCTACCTTTATTTTGATGGATTTGAAAGTATCATTTGATGTTTTGGGGTTTGTGGTCGAGTTGGCTATTCTTCTAGAGAGGACTCTTTTTCCAAGCTTATTTAAGTGTTGTCCATGATTTGTAAAAAAAAAGGTTCCTTTTAAGATCACTAATGTCAATTACATTTAAATTTTTTGACTGTCTTAAGTTGTAGTTTAGTTTGTAGATTTCTTTGTTGCTAACATATTACAGTAGTAATATGTTAGCACTAACTTTCAAAACTGTAACAACGGTTAGTGCTTCGTTAGTGCTGGTTAGTTCTTCAACTCCCATCGTTAGTGCTCTTACGGTTCAGGAGCTGTAACTAGAAAAACTGTTGAGTTGTCAACTTTACGGAAGTTAGCCCCCCCTAACCAGTAGTAATATGTGAGCACTAACTTTTAAAATAGTGTAAATGGTCAGCGCTGGTTAGTGAATGCTCCTGGAGTTGTAATGAAAATCTCTAGTTACGAGGTTAGATTTTTAAGGCGATTGAAAGAAAGCTCCACACAATTATATCGACTAGACTCCACACATTTTTTAAAACTTTAAATAAAAGATAATATTTCCCCAGGGAAGTTATCCCCTCCTCACTTGGGGCAAGGATTTATTTAGTACATGTAGCCTAGCTACATGCATAAATCCAGACGAAAAAAAGAAAGTGCTTGAAAAAACTGCAGAGATCGGTTGCAGTACCTGAACAATTAAAATGTCATGACCTTGGTTTATCATCCATGCCTTTATGCAATGGCGATGTATCCTACGTACAAGAATTTGGTATTAATGGACATCTGATGATCGAGATTGCAAGTGATAACCAACATCAGCCCCACAGCTTGATAAAAACGACTTTGAGTCGAACACAAGCTACAGTTTTTTCGGTTATAGCTCCTGAACCGTAAGAGCACTAACGATGGGAGTTGAAGCACTAACCAGCACAAACGAAGCACTAACCGTTGGTACAGTTTTGAAAGTTAATGCTCACATATTAGTACTTGGGGGGGGGGTTAACTTCCGTGAAGTTGGCCCCTCCACAGTTTTTCGGTTATAGCTTCTGAACCGTAAGAGCACTAACGATGGGAGTTGAAGCACTAACCAGCACTAACGAAGCACTAACCGTTGGTACAGTTTTAAAAGTTAGTGCTCACATATTACTACTGGGGGGGGGCTAACTTCCGTGAAGTTGGCCCCCCACAGTTTTTCGGTTATAGCTCCTGAACCGTAAGAGCACTAACGATGGGAGTTGAAGCACTAACCAGCACTAACGAAGCACTAACCATTAATACTAGTTTAATTGTTAGTGCTTTTATGGGGGGGGGGCTAACTCCCGTGAAGTTGGCCCCCCACAGTTTTTCGGTTATAGCTCCTGAACCGTAAGAGCACTAACGATGGGAGTTGAAGCACTAACCAGCACTAACGAAGCACTAACCGTTGGTACAGTTTTAAAAGTTAGTGCTCACATATTACTACTGGGGGGGGCTAACTTCCGTGAAGTTGGCCCCCCCACAGTTTTTCGGTTATAGCTCATGAACCGTAAGAGCACTAACGATGGGAGTTGAAGCACTAACCAGCACTAACGAAGCACTAACCATTAATACTAGTTTAATTGTTAGTGCTTTTATGGGGGGGGCTAACTTCACGGACCTGAATCACACTATTTTGCAGCTTAGCTTTAATTGCTTCTAAAGAAGTACTAAGTACTTTGATTTGGTTGTTTGCCTCCAGAAGTTTTTCCTTTATTTCACAATATTTACTTTCAATTTCATTAGACTGTTCTTTGTGATTAATATCTTTTTTAGGTTTTAGGGTAATATCATTACTAACCACTTTATTTGCCTTTAAAGGAGTAGTCATTGCATGCAATTTTTGCTGATTACACTTCTTTTGGGAGTAAGATCGAGTTTTAATTGCAGGACTTTCCTTAGCCCGACTATGGTTGGAAAGGTTCTTATTTTGTAAAACCATTTTCAATTTGCTTGTAATCAACCTTAAAATTAAGAATACAATGGAAACTCCATGTACAATATCGAAACTTAAATTTATTTAATTAAAATACAAAATTGATGGTAAAAGAAAATAAGGGTTCACAATAAAGTTTACAATCAGTGGGGAATGAATTTAATAAGGAAAGCTTTAGGCTAAGCCTATTACAATAGTTCTAAAGGTTCAGGTGTTATAATTTATTGCATGAATCTTTATCTCAGGTGGGGTGATCGAGCGGCATTTGAATTTAATCTTGTGATTTTATATAGCCTAATTAAAATTTTGTTTTGAAATATAAAAATAGGTTCAAATTATTTTCTGATTGGTTGAATTAATGACTTGATTAGTAGTCCAGTAAATAGAGACAGAAATAGGGGGGTTAACTTGCAAACGGTCCGGTAAGTCTAAATGTTTTATATGTTGTCTTGGATGGTAAGTAGGTGTTAAAACCGCAAAATGCACAATTCTACCCCCTCCGCGCCCGCCGCCATATTGAAAAATCGAAAAAATCGGTACTTTATAGAGATTTTCGCCTATATCTCCGTTTTGGTGCGTTTTAGCAAAAAATATGTAATTGCAATGTTTAGGAAATTTAATTGTCTACAACATTGCAATTACATATTTTTTAAGATAGACTTACGCATTTTTGATATCGTTATTTCATTGTGTTTCAACCACTATTTAATTGTGCAAAAACAGTCTGGAAGTAGCATGAATAATCCTTTTTCATACATTACACACCTCTCGGTAAAAAAAAATTAACACCTCATAAATTAAGTTATCTTCTAAAATTTGTTAACAACTATCTCTTCTTTATAATCATTTAGTCTGAGTTACCTTTCTTCTTAGCAGCCTGTAGTATCTGTTGGTACTGTGCCCGGTGGCGAGCCTGTTCCTCCTCACTCTTTGCAGGCAAGTTGGCAGGCCTGTCCAGCTGTATGAGGGCTGAGCTAGAAGCCACCCTAGTCTCCAGTCTAGCAGTAGACCCACTACAGGTAGAGTCTGGAGCCAAGCTTCCTCCATCTGACTATACGATAGGGAAGAAACATTGTTGTTATACATCATTTGAAGAATAAATGTTTTCCCTATGGTATTACCATAACCTCTTCTAATAAAATGCCACAGCAAGACAAAAGTGGCAAAACCACTGTCCCGGCAAACTGAAACAGCTGTTATAGTGGATCGTCTGCCTAATGTATTTATTACTATGGCAACAGACTAGCCGGTGCGAAGTTGCTACACACTAACAAGGGTCGCATCTGGCCACGGCTTTGTATTAGAGAGGCTATGGTATTAAACATCGTATTTGAGCATTTATGGTATTCAAAACAAGGCACATTATGAGCTGGGTTCAGGGCCGCAGCTCTGTGGGGGGGGGGGGTTTGGGAGGGTCGTTTGACGAAGGTGACAAGTTTTGGGGGCGGCAAAATTAAGTTTGCTATGTAATTTGTTTTAACCTCACTATACAAAAAGGTATGCTTTGCTTACTAAAGTGGTCTAGCCAATACAATGAAAAGGGCTCCTGAGAAAAAATGTTTATGAACGCATGAGGTTCAAGGATGGGAGCAGCGGAGATGACTGCTCAAGGTCAAAGTCTTCTTGTATTTACAGTCGTATGTAGAGAGAGTCCATCCTATTCCTGATTCCCTCTCCGCTCCTTTGTAAACACCTATTTTTTTAAACATATATTTTTCTTAAATTGCTTTTATTTATACCTGAAATTGTCGACATTTCTAAACGATCATTAGCATTATTCCTTAGCTTAACGATCATTAGCTCTTTTTCTATATATTCAGAAAATGGTAGTAACCTTTATAAGGGTTCAAATTAGCCCTCTATTTTTAAGGTTGGGTGTCGGTTTACTGTTTTTTTTTAAACACTCCAAAATTTTGGATTGATAAAATGTGTTGGTTTCTAATTATTGGTTGTAATGCAATAATTTTGCCGCGGTTGCGGGTGGCGACAACGAGTTTTGGTGTTCACAGCAATGTTCAAGATTTTGCCCCAATTGGGAGAGGCGATGACAATGGTCTTAGGGCTGGCAGGATTGTTCCGGATTTTGTTGCGGACGTGAGATAGAAGTTAGCAGTGCCGGACTTACCACTAGGCCACGGCTTAGGGCAGCAAGCGAAACGGGGCCGCAGTGTTTTGTAGAAAAACAACTTTTTAAACAACAAATTGCTTCAAGGATTAATGATAATGATAACAATGTTCCCGTGATAAGCATGATAAGTTTAAGATTTTTTGGCAATCGCAGATGACAAGTGGAGCTCAGCCTCCACAACATGATCTACCCAACTCAAATGTCCCGCGAAGAAGGCACTCTTCAACTCACGACCGGGCTCGCGCATACGTGGCGAACACGTGAGGTGAGTTGAGTGAACTAGGACTCTGTCTTGATGTTGCTGATGTCGAAGAACATGGACGTGTGCTAGAAGTTGGGGTATATGGGGTAAGGCCCCATGAGAGGTACGGTTTTAGATATGTAGTTACTCTTAATTTCCATAATTGTTTTTTTCAGATTCTGTAGTCAATTTTTGACTATCTTATCTCATTCCTAGCCTCACCTTTCATTATCAATATTGGTTCAAATGTTAGTTCACGTTGTGTCCAGTTGTCCGATTGGTAATTATTGCACATATTCAAAGACAATAATATTACTGTAGTTAAAATGGTTGAATTAGTATTAATAATCAAGAAAATTGGCTCATTGGGCCTGTGATTAGCAGTAAATTGTTTCTTATGGTTAAATAAAAGGGATCCAGTTGTCGTTTCCTACACAAATGGTTTGGTCGTAATAGTCAATCAAACGACAACAATCGCCAAAATGTAGCTCAAACGCCACAGACGGTAACGATGTCCTCGTGATGGCGGGAGATGTTGACGATTTATACCCGATCACGGGTGACGATAGTCATGTCCCCTGATAGTGGGATTACAGGTACGATGATTTCAGTTAAAAGTCAAGTATGATGTCACTAATGGTGAAAGACTAACAATTTTGCTGCTAATGCAGGTGACCTCAATTATGTCCTCGTGATAGCGAAAGATGTTCACGAATCACCATTCAGCCGCGATCGTCGGTGACAATAACGATGTCCCCGTTATAGCAGTAGATATTCACAATTTTGCCGTGATTGCAGGCAGTTATTTTCACCCTGCGCCTCCTGCCTGGATCCGCCCGCCACTGACCATTAATTTATTTATTTATTTATTACATATTATTACATCATTTGACAGGACATAGTGTCATATACAGGGTAACTAAAACTAAGAATAACAAAAATGTCTAAGTAACTTATTAACACGTTCGCTGTGGCATACGTCAAACAGGCGCTCAACAATGGCAGTAGGACCCGGGCAAAGCTCCATGCGCCACCCAATCAGCGAACACAATTAACATTCAAATATTTCAGTCTAACGAATCACAAAAGAACAGTGGTGATTGTACTGCGTTACCCCAAAAGTGGACGTAGTTCACTGAATCACCCAAGGGTAGCAGCACTGACTGGATCCGTAGCCAGTGTCTTGGTAATGTGGCTCGAAGAGAGAAAATCCCCGAAAACGGGACAAAGGCATTGCCAGACGGGATTTTACGGGAAATTTTAGTACCAACCTACACCAAAATCAAGTTCGCATTCTTAGCTACAGGAGCGACAAAAGCAGCTAGCACATCGCTCGACTGCTGGCCTCAAACTGGTCCAACAACGACACTGTGTTGTACTTTTACAACGCTAGCTCCTGGCGCGCAGTATGCACGTTGTAAAAATACAACACCCGCAGCAAACGTTTTTTTTTTATTTTAAACAGGTTCTCAGGGTGGATCTGAACTCAGTACTACTATAAATATTTTTATGTAAAGCGGTAACTTATTGGAAACTTTTGGGCCTATATATTGGGAGGATAAATGAAATTTCTCTAATCTAAGGGTTTCTGGCTTAATATAACTCTTAACCAGTGGCGGCACTTCCATAAGGGCCAAGTGGGCCGGGCCCACCCAAAATAAACACTAAAGTATATTTTTAAATTCTTAATAGATTATTTGGTTGATATTATTCAATAAACTGCATTAATTTTTAACTTTCAACGGGTCATAACTTTTGTTGAAATACAATGCAATCATCTCGTAACACATTGGAGGGCCACGGATTTCGGGCCCTTCTAGCCACCATAAGAACGTAATGGACAAGGCAACGCCAGCCGGCAAGACCAGTGAGCAGTCGGGCAGGTCGCTCCCTTGAAAATATTGAGGCTGTACATGATAGTGTAGAGGACAACGCAAGAACATCGATTCGTCGGCGTAGTAAGCAGTTATAGCTTGGAGCTCAGAACAAAGAGTTTTGGTAAAAGACCTACACACGTTCCCTTACAAAGTTCAACTCACACAAGAGATCAAGCCAAGAGATCCCGTAAAATGGCTTGAATTTGTTAACTGGGTGGTGGGAAATCAAGATGATAATGACGTGTTTTTAAAAACTTTGCTGTTCAGCGATGAAGCACACATTCATCTAAGCAAGATCGTGCGATTTCACACCGCGAGGCTATTTTCTTTAGGAATATTTAAAGTCGCTTGTTTTAGCCAATAATCCTCAAACAATCCCAGAAGGGAGGAAATTATTCGTGCCATTAATGGAATTCAACAGGAAGTGTGTTAAAAAGTGATGGAAAACATAGTCAAGAGATGTCGGGCTTGTCAGCATAATATTCCATTACTAATCGGAGATACTAAACTTTCAGATTCATGTTTCATATTGTAAATTTAGCGTGAGAATATATGGTTTTTTAACATTTCAAATCCGGCGTTCTTATTGGGACACCCTTTATATGAGATATTGGAGAATAATTGTAAAATATATTAAGTCTAGGTCTAACTCAGTCTTTCCACTGGAATAAAACAAAACGCAGAGGATACGCGACCGGTAACCGGACGTGGATTAGGCGTCCGGCAGTTACTGTCATAACCTAACCTAACCAACCAAACCTGCTGATAGTGAAAAAAATCAAATGAAGGTTCAATTCTCTTCATAACATAAAATTATAAATGCCGAAAATGCTAACAAAAGATGTACAGTTAAGAAGAAATTACATTCAAAGCAAAATTTGTGACAAAAAGTTTAAGATACCGATGGGTTTCGAACCGGGGACCACTCGCATACCAGCCGAGCACTCTATCCACTACACCACGAACACTGATGGCTGAACATCGTATCATTGTGGTAATGGCGTTCCGGGACCCCCTACCGGACGACTAATCAACGTCTGGTTACCGGACGCCTAATCCACGTCTGGTTACCGGACGCGTATCCTCTGTGAAAACAAAAATCCCACTCACCCGGCCAAAAAAGTCCTGTTTTATGCCCCTACATGAATGTCATAAAATGTGCATTCTGGTTTATCTTATTCCACAACGTACTAAGATATGATGGTTTTAACCAAAAAGCTAAGAAAATCAGGCGTCAGAGTCGGAAATTCGGTTTTATTAGGCACCCCGTTTCAATTCCGTGCATGGTCTAAAACTTCTGTTTTTGTGATTTAAGTCCTCATACCCCTTTTACATACGCGGGGGTAGGCCTACTAATGATTTTTCGAACCATATACAGTCCTCAGGAAGTTTCGCCTGACATCAGCATCTTTGGATGACTTGGAATTATCTAAGCAATTAATTGTTTCTGATCGTGGTGCATGTTAAATAATCATCTCCACGCAGTATTTTCATGGTGTTCTTTCTATGAACTGTTTTTAAATATGAAATATTTTTTATTTGGAAAATTTAATGGTAACGTACTGGTTGAATAATTGTTCCTAATTTTGAAAATTCATGGTCCATTGGAGAAATCCATGCATAATCCATGCCTTTTTTCATGGTCACAAGAATTCATGCATAATTCAAGCTTTTCGAGGTTTTCATGGCTGGTGGCAACCCTGAGTAAACTAACTCATTGCCTTCTAGAATTGTCACCTCTGTAGTATGGTTTGTGTAACTTTGTAGGGAGCTGAATAACTCATATAAAATACAGTTAATGTATCGTTACTTGTTTGTAAACTAAACTACAAGAAAGGGAAAAAATGTGCCAAAAATGTTTAAGTCAGTACACTCACCTCCACATATTGATCCACTGAGAGAGAGCTATGAGACGAAATGGGAGATACATTTTTGCCAAACAGTTTCCACCGGCCAAAACTGTCTTGAGATTTTGAACTGGACTTCCAGTTGAAGACATTTCTGAAAAAGAATGATTCCCTCAATTTCTAAAAACTTTGCAAGCCAAATTCATGATCTAAAAGATCTTGAGTCAAGGAAGTTTGAGCATAGCGAATTTCCCATATAGGGAATAAGCTATTACCGTAGTACTCATGGAAGACCTGGACCCAGGACAGATTTAATTTTTTGTTTTGAGGTCCCTAGAGGTCAAAAACACTACCGTTCATATTCATATATATATATAAACTAGCAGAGTACCCGTCCTTCGTACGGGGTTGGAATATAAGTATAAAATACTTATTGCAGTTATACTCAAGCTATGCGTTTGCAATAAGGGAGGACACAGTTTGATAAAATTTGCTTTTTTAAATTTACAGTATTCTATAGTATTACACATCTACTATAGCCATAATGTTCTACCACTTCACCTAAACAATAGAGAAAAATAAATTATCAACAATTCGCAAAATATTACAAATTATTCATGAAATGAAAAACATAAACATAACTGTAAACAATCCTACTTTGACAGTTCTCATTGGGAACCACAGTTTTTTGTTGCTGCTTAGCTCAAATTAGCTGTTTTCATAAATGCAAAAAAAATATAGTGCTGCACCCTGTTGGTAAATCTTATAACTTTTTAATGCTTTTCCATATCTTAGAACCAACTTTTTTAGTTGAAACAGCTGACTAAATTCTTTAATTCCTAAATATGAATACTGTACTCATAAGGTTAACATGGGAAATTACAGAGCCACTGGGGCGGAGCCCGAAAGGATTTTTGAGATAAGAATATGCCTATATGTTAATCGGGAATGTAAGCTATCATCATGCCAAATTTCAGCCCAATCCGTCCAGTGGTTTATGCGTGATTGAACTTCAAACAAACAAACAAACAAACAAACAAACAAACACACAAACTTTCACATTTATAATATTAGTAAGATATTTGTTTATAAATAAATATATAAATATATATGTGTGTCTGTTAGCGCGATAACTCGAGCAAAAATGATCCGATTTTGATGAAATTTGGTACAAACGTGTAAACCTACGTTTATTTGAACGAGTATGCGAACCAGCATAATCGGACCATGGGAACGGGGTTTTATGGGGTAATAATGGGTTTTTCCTATTTTTGACCCTAAAAACAAAAAATTTTGCAATTTCTTTTTAAACCGTTTTGTAAAGCTTAAAAAAATAAATAATTTAGTATATTGAAGAGCTGTTGTATGCCTAACGGTAACGGAGAAAATTCAAAAATAGTGTAATTAAAAATTCCTATGTTATTCTTAGGAGAAAATGAAAACTGTTGTAGTTTACTTGTTTATGGATATATATTGATAAAATTCGGCAAATTTATTTATTTCATCCTATAGGTAGGCTACTATTGACGTATGGTCAAAAAACACTTTTTACCTTCCCCGTAGCAGCAAACCTAAGCACGCATTAAATCTAATGTTATTTAAATTGGGAATAAATATGTCCTATTTATAGAAATATTTTAGTAAAAATGTTATCAGACAAGTTGAAATTCGCTTATAGTCTGCAGGTTTGCTGCGGCGGGGGTATACGATTTTGGCGGTTTTTACCTTATATATTTAGATCAATTCTCATTTACAATCAGAGTTGATCAGAATCAATTCAATAGTGCATAAGGATTTTCAATCAGAATTATCTAGATGTTAATTTTAAAATTCACCAGAGTGGTCTCACTGACCCTACAATTTGATGACCTTAGGGATCTGAGCTTCCTATGTTTGTGGTTTTTGGTTATTACATTTTATAATACACCCAACTCATCTAATATAGTTCATCTTACTAATATTATAAATCTGAAAGTTTGTGAGTTTGTGTGTATGTTTGCATGTATGTTTGTGTGTTGCTCAATCACGCATAAACTACTGGACGGATTGGGCTGAAATTTGGCATGATGATAGCTCACATTCCCTATTAACATTTAGCATATTCTTATCTCAAAAATCCTTTCGGGCTCCGCCCCAGTGGGTCTGTAGTTCCCCATGTTAACCTTATGAGTATTCATATTTAAAGGGAATTAAAGAATTTAGTCAGCTGTTTCAACTTTACAAGTTGGTTCTATAATATGCAATAGCATTAAAAAGTTATAAGGTTTCCCAACAGGGTGCAGCACTATTATTATTTTGTTTGTGCATATATGACAACAGCTAATTTAAACTAGGCAGCAACAAAAAGCTGTGATACACAATGAGAACTGTCAAAGTAGGATTGTTTATCGTTAGGTTTGAGTTTTTAATTTAATGAATAATTTGTGATATTGTAAGAATGTTTGATAATTTATTTTTTTCTATTGTTTAGGTGCAATGGTAGAACATTATGGCAATGGTAGATGTGTTAACCTATATCATACCGTAAATTTATGAATCAAATTTTATCAAACTGTGTCCTCCCCCCATTGCAAACGCAAAGCTTGAGTATAGCTGCAATAAGTATTTTATACTTATATGCCAACCCCGTACGAAGGACGGGTGCTCTGCTAGTCTAATATAGTTTATGAACAAATAAGTGAATATTTTGAGGCAAATGACTTGTTTAATGTTTCCCAATTTGGATTTAGAAAAGGAATGTCTACAATTGATGCTCTTGACAATCTCATCAGGCAAATTCATTAGTCCTTTGAAAGCAAGACCTTTGCTCAGGGCACCTTTTGTGACCTGAGCAAAGCATTTGATTGTGTTGACTTTGAAATTCTTATTAAAAAGTTAGAACTGTAGGCCTATGGGTTTAACGGGTCTTCTCTAAATTTTCTTTCATCTTATTTAAAAAACCGGAAACAAGTAGTAAATTCTGATGGGAAAAAAGTCACAAGAAAGGGAAGTAAATTGGGGCGATCCACAGGGATCAGTCCTTGGCCCACTCCTGTTTGTAATCTACATTAATGACCTTCCAATGGCAATAAATACAAAAACTATTCTGTACGCGGATGATACAACTTTTTTTTGTGAAAACAATAACCAACTTGTACTTAAAAATTTAGTCCATGTCACAAAATTAAATGCATCCAAATGGTTCCATGCCAATGGATTTCTATTGAATGACTGTAAAACTTAAGAAATAAAATTTACATTGAAACACAATTCTGTAGGCCTATGGGTTTAACGGATATTCTCTAAATTTTCTTTCATCTTATTTAAAAAACCGGAAACAAGTAGTAAATTCTGATGGGAAAAAAGTCACAAGAAAGGGAAGTAAATTGGGGCGATCCACAGGGATCAGTCCTTGGCCCACTCCTGTTTGTAATCTACATTAATGACCTTCCAATGGCAATAAATACAAAAACTATTCTGTACGCGGATGATACAACTTTTTTTTGTGAAAACAATAACCAACTTGTACTTAAAAATTTAGTCCATGTCACAAAATTAAATGCATCCAAATGGTTCCATGCCAATGGATTTCTATTGAATGACTGTAAAACTTAAGAAATAAAATTTACATTGAAACACAATTCTGTAGGCCTATGGGTTTAACGGATATTCTCTAAATTTTCTTTCATCTTATTTAAAAAACCGGAAACAAGTAGTAAATTCTGATGGGAAAAAAGTCACAAGAAAGGGAAGTAAATTGGGGCGATCCACAGGGATCAGTCCTTGGCCCACTCCTGTTTGTAATCTACATTAATGACCTTCCAATGGCAATAAATACAAAAACTATTCTGTACGCGGATGATACAATTTTTTTTTGTGAAAACAATAACCAACTTGTACTTAAAAATTTAGTCCATGTCACAAAATTAAATGCATCCAAATGGTTCCATGCCAATGGATTTCTATTGAATGACTGTAAAACTTAAGAAGTAAAATTTACATTGAAATACAATTCTGCCTTAAATAATGAAAAAAGTGCTGTCACTACAAAATTATTGGGTCTTCATATTGATAATCAACTATCCTGGAATGATCATATAAATTATTTGTCTACTTGACTATCTCGAGTAATTTTTCTTCTTGGTTGCCTCAAAGATGTAATTCCAAAGAACCATTTGAGATCGGCTTATTTTGCATATTTTCAGTCTGTAATGAGACATGGATTGATATTCTGGGGTGGGTGTGGAAGAATTAATGAAATTTTAATCCTACAGAAGGGGGCTATCAGAGCTATGCTATCGCGGACCTGTTTCCTTCCCTTCCAATAGCATTTTAGGATTGCAGATACCTTAATCTAATCGTCGTAAACAGTTTCCACACTCCAGACTGCTCGCCTTTACTACTTCCTTCACCACTTCCTACGTGGCGGACCTGTTTTCCTCCCTTCCCATAGAATTTTAGGAATGCAGATACCTTAATCTAATCGTCATAAACAGTTTCCACACTCCAGACTGCTCACCTTTACTACTTCCTTTACCACTTCATATGTCACGGACCTCAAGCTAGTGTAGTCATTTGATTATATTTATGATCCATACCGTTTTTGTTCTAATATGTGTGGAATAATGCTATCAGCTATTTTTTTATCTACTGCATTCAAAATCAACAGCTGATCATATGTCTTTGTTTATGTGTCAAATACTGCATCCATAAGGATTACATTGAAACTTTGACACCCAGTGGGGCGGATTCCTGAGAGACTTTTTTGACGCCATATAGATATTGGCACTCACCGATATGGTCTTTATCACCATGTAAAATTTGAAAACTATTGATTCAGCCGTCTAGGAGGAGTTTGCGTATTACAAAATGCATAAGAGTCAACGTATAAGAGCTTCGCTCAATTAATCCAGTATGCAGTTGTTTACAAAATGTATTTCAGTGTTGTGTTTGTAAGATAATAAAAGAGTTTATAACATTTTTCTTTCATTAAATTTTAATATTACAACAAAGGTTATGGGCCTTTTAAAACATTAAAATAATCATTTTACAGTATTCTGTGCTTAAAAATAAGTTAAACGAGTTTTGGCTATAGGATTGAACCTTTGAAACGAAATAATTATGACACTTGGAAAAATCAAGCTGAAGCTCCAACAAAACCTAATGGAGAATGTA